ACATTCGAAAATCCATCAACATCATCCACCACATCAACAAAAAGAAAGACAAAAACCACATGATCATCTCCATAGATGCTGAAAAAGCATTTGACAAAATTCAACATCCATTCATGATAAAAACTCTCAGCAAAATGGGAATAGAGGGCAAGTACCTCAACATAATAAAGGCCATATATGATAAACCCACAGCCAGCATTATACTGAACAGCGAGAAGCTGAAAGCATTTCCACTGAGATCGGGAACCAGACAGGGATGCCCACTCTCCCCACTGTTATTTAACATAGTACTGGAGGTCCTAGCCACGGCAATCAGACAAAACAAAGAAATACAAGGAATCCAGATTGGTAAAGAAGAAGTTAAACTGTCACTATTTGCAGATGATATGATACTGTACATAAAAAACCCTAAAGACTCCACTCCAAAACTACTAGAACTGATATCGGAATACAGCAAAGTTGCAGGATACAAAATCAACACACAGAAATCTGTAGCTTTCCTATACACTAACAACGAATCAATAGAAAGAGAAATCAGGAAAACAATTCCATTCACCATTGCATCAAAAAGAATAAAATACCTAGGAATAAACCTAACCAAGGAAGTGAAAGACTTATACTCTGAAAACTACAAGTCACTCTTAAGAGAAATTAAAGGGGACACTAATAAATGGAAACTCATCCCATGCTCATGGCTAGGAAGAATTAATATCGTCAAAATGGCCATCCTGCCCAAAGCAATATACAGATTTGATGCAATCCCTCTCAAATTACCAGCAACATTCTTCAATGAATTGGAACAAATAATTCAAAAATTCATATGGAAACACCAAAGACCCCGAATAGCCAAAGCAATCCTGAAAAAGAAGAATAAAGTAGGGGGGATCTCACTCCCCAACTTCAAGCTCTACTACAAAGCCATAGTAATCAAGACAATTTGGTACTGGCACAAGAACAGAGCCACAGACCAGTGGAACAGATTAGAGACCCCAGAAATTAACCCAAACATATATGGTCAATTAATATTTGATAAAGGAGCCATGGACATACAATGGCAAAATGACAGTCTCTTCAACAGATGGTGCTGGCAAAACTGGACAGCTACATGTAGGAGAATGAAACTGGACCATTGTCTAACCCCATATACAAAGGTAAACTCAAAATGGATCAAAGACCTGAATGTAAGTCACGAAACCATTAAACTCTTGGAAAAAAACATAGGCAAAAACCTCTTAGACATAAACATGAGTGATCTCTTCTTGAACATATCTCCCCGGGCAAGGAAAACAACAGCAAAAATGAGCAAGTGGGACTACATTAAGCTGAAAAGCTTCTGTACAGCGAAAGACACCATCAATAGAACAAAAAGGAACCCTACAGTATGGGAGAATATATTTGAAAATGACAGATCTGATAAAGGCTTGACGTCCAGAATATATAAAGAGCTCACACGCCTCAACAAACAAAAAACAAATAACCCAATTAAAAAATGGGCAGAGGAACTGAACAGACAGTTCTCCAAAAAAGAAATACAGATGGCCAAGAGACACATGAAAAGATGCTCCACATCGCTAATTATCAGAGAAATGCAAATTAAAACTACAATGAGGTATCACCTCACACCAGTAAGGATAGCTGCCATCCAAAAGACAAACAACAACAAATGTTGGCGAGGCTGTGGAGAAAGGGGAACCCTCCTACACTGCTGGTGGGAATGTAAATTAGTTCAACCATTGTGGAAAGCAGTATGGAGGTGCATCAAAATGCTCAAAACAGACCTACCATTTGACCCAGGAATTCCACTCCTAGGAATTTACCCTAAGAACGCAGCAATCAAGTTTGAGAAAGACAGATGCACTCCTATGTTTATCGCAGCACTATTTACAATAGCCAAGAATTGGAAGCAACCTAAATGTCCATCTGTAGATGAATGGATAAAGAAGATGTGGTACATATACACAATGGAATACTACTCAGCCATAAGAAGTGGAAAAATCCAACCATTTGCAGCAACATGGATGGAGCTGGAGAGTATTATGCTCAGTGAAATAAGCCAAGCGGAGAAAGAGAAATACCAAATGATTTCACTCATCTGAGGAGTATAGGAACAAAGGAAAAACTGAAGGAACAAAACAGCAGCAGAATTACAGAACCCAAAAATGGACTAACAGGTACCAAAGGGAAAGGAACTGGGGAGGATGGGTGGGCAGGGAGGGATAAGGGGGGGGAAGAAGAAGGGGGGTATTAAGATTAGCATGCATGGGGGGGAGGGAGAAAGGGGAGGGTGGGCTGCACAACACAGAGAGGACAAGTAGTGACTCTACCACATTTTGCTAAGCTGATGGACAGTAACCGTAATGTGGTTGTTAGGGGGGACCTGATATAGGGGAGAGCATAGTAAACATAGTATTCTTCAGGTAAGTGTAGATTAAAAAATTTAAAAAAAAAAAAGAAAGAAAGAAAGAAAAGGGGGATTACTCCTTAACAGGATAAAACTATTGGTAAATCAAAGATCAACGCATGCTTTAAATATCCTTAATGTTGATCACTTAAAGGGTGTCAGATGATCAGCTATGGAGGTACTCTTTTCTGATAATATTCCTTTCTCTTAATAAAAAAAAAAAAAAAAAGCAGTTACTGTGTGCTGACCTCCAATGAGTTCTGCACAGTGGTATAGAGGGCATGTCAAAGTGTGGGCAAAGGGTCTGTTTGTTTCTACGCAGAAGATCAAGGCCTAGCTTGGATACCCAGAAAATGAACTAAGATACGATATGAGGAGGAGCTTCCGGCATCAGCACTCTCTGGAGGACTCGTGCCGGGGGATGATCATCAAAAAGCCTCCACAGGGATCCGGACGATGCTGCGGTTGTGGCTGCATCCAGCCCACCGTCTCCTGGACTTGCCATAAGAAGGAGGAGGGAGATGTCTAGGCTGGCATGTGCATACAGTGAGACAACGAATTTGACTGGATCTGTACTGTTGGAACTCAACCAGGAGTTGGGAGGGGTGCAAGTTGTAGCACCCCAAAATCTCATGACTATAGACTATCTATGGTTAAAAGAACATATGGGATGTGAACAGATCCCAGAAATGGGCTGCTTTAATTTGTCTGATGGTTCAAGTACAGTTGGACAATATCCATCATATCATAGATAAATTTTCACAAATGCCTAGGGTGCCTAAATGGTTTTCTTGGCTTCACTGGAGATGGCTGGTAATTATAGATTTGCTTTGTTTATGTCACCGTATTCCTATTATGTTAATATGTGTGTGCAAATTAGTTAGTAGTTTAAAACCTATACATACTTAAGGTACTATACAAGAAGATATGTCAAAGAAATAATCAATCCTCCCAAGTTTCCTTCATATGCTACATCTATAGCTTTTCTTCTTCCTTCCTAATTACAACCCTTAAATAGAATTCGTGCCTCATATCGAATTTACCGAGTATCATAATTCCTCCAGGTGGTAAAGATACCTCGAGACAAGTGCTGGGCATAGAAGCCACAGGGCATAAATCTGCAAAGAAGTAAAAAGCTAACCTTTGCAAACAATATGGCTTCTCTCTCACTTACCAACTTTACATTTCCCTGTATGGCCCCGGAAGATGACTGGTTAGCCAGAGACGGGTAAGATTCCTCAAGGGAGGAACAACCTAAGACAGGCACAGTCGCAGGGGGGCCATCAGGTGAGAATTTGGGGATCAACAGAGGTGAGGCTCAGAACCTCACCCCCCCTGCTTTGAGAGAAATCTTCTGCATCCGTGGATGTCTTGCTGCCCTTGTCTAGCCTGGATTAATACTTAGTCCATAGGCACACACCTGATCATCTGATCATCTACATTTGCCTTCTTACAGCACTAAACTATGTTTTCTACCTTTATCTTGCATCTACCTACCACTTCAGCATTTTATTAAAAATAAAAATAATAATAATAATAGGAGAAATGTGGGATCAACATATAAATCAAGTACAAAAATCAAACGAATATTCATATTTGACCTGATTGTTTATAGGTCATAATGCGTGATCAAAACCGAAAGTTTCTGTGATGAATGCCCTTGTACTGTTCACCATGTAACAATTTATTCACTATGTAAGAATTCGTTCACCATGTAAGAACTTGTTCGTTATGCTTCAGAAGATTGGAGACTGACGAGCATTAGACTTGAGATGGATTAATGATTGTACATTGAGCATTGACCCCCCTATACTGAATTTTATTGTTGTTAACAACCATTTGATCAATAAATATGAGAGATGCCCTCTCAAAAAAAAAAAAACTGCTTTGAAAAGAAGTATAGTTGCATGGCACCTGAAAGAGAAAGAGACAGAAGAGGTTTGTATTGTACAAAGAAAAAGTTTTGAGTTTACAACTCAACTCAAGAGTTGTAAAATCCAGATTGAAAAAGCATTAAAGACTAATCACTTACTTATCTGGAAATTAATAGAGGAAATTAAAACCTGGTTGAGAGTATGTGTATCTCATTAGTCCAGGTAAAACTTCAGTTTTATGTTTTAAAGTAGATTCTTAAGGGAAAGGAAGAAAAAAACTTTGGTACATGAGTGGGAGAAGGTCCAGGTGTAAAAACAATTTGATAAAAAGTTAATTCAGTTAGGAGAGATGACATGCGGATATGTAAAACACATTTTTTTTTTTATGAAAATTACACTTTAAGTCATATTGTCTTGTCCAGATTAGTATTTCGGTTTTCCTCCCAAACGCAAGTCCAAGTGACCAAGTTCTGCTGTGCTACCTGTTTCCCCATCTCCTCCATTCTTTGACAAGAGAGCTCGGTAGAGAACATCATAATAGATTGCCTTACTGAAGGCAGGTTGCCTTGACATCACAGTTCTTTTTCTTTCTGTATTTTAACAATCCAGTAATAAATATCAAGTGAATGATTCTCATTAGAGAGCTAACTTATAATCATTGTTGAAAGCATGTAATTGTAATGTGCATCGCTGTTAAATGTTTATGGTTTGTTTTCTTTTTGTAGAACACAAAGTAATTATAGTGGGGCTGGATAATGCAGGGAAAACCACCATTCTCTATCAGTTGTAAGTATGGGTGTTTATGTAAACAGTTTTCATTATTTTAGATACTGTAACTAATTTTATATAATTAATTAAAGAATGAGATGACTTCACAATATAATGGAAAAACACATATAGTTTTGTATTTTATCATGCACAAAATTTATCTAAAAAATGAGTAAGAGAAATTAATACATGTTTGCTAAAGCCTTCACAAACACTGATCTCCCTTCTGGCCTTGAAAGAAAGAATTAATATTAAACTAAAATAAATAAAGCTTATATTATAGTGCTAGGGTAAGGTGATGAAGTACATTTCACTTAATTCTTCCACACTGAGGTTCATGTGAGTAGGTTTTTATTTCTAGGCTATTGCTGCCCTCCTGCCTAATAGCTCTCAATTGTAAACATAGCCAGACTTGTTAGACCAAAAGAAATGAAATGACCTCTGAACATATTGCACTAGTAGCTTGCAACATGAAGAGGCTTGAACTTCCAGAGAAATACATTAATACTTGAAGGAAATGTTAGCAGCCCATCAATCCACTTGTCAGAGTACCTCTCCATATTCTTGTAGCACCAATGCAGTGATCATTGTTAAGCCATGGAAGTGGGTCTACATCCCAGACATTTAACAGACAGTTATAAATTACAGTGCATCCTCACTGTGTGGCTCTTATCTCTTCCTATCTCATCTTAAGTATATCAGCTAACAACTCTGCAGAAATATCTCTTTTAAGCAGTGCTTAATGTATTTTTAGCCACTATGCTAAAAAGCTGCTAACCTGTGGCTTGTTGTAGAGTTGAATGACTACTCATTCTACTTTAAGACATTCATTGGCCATTATGTATTTTAATATGACTTAGCATTTCAACATCAAATATAAACATTTCAGAAACCTGTCTTGCTGAAATAACTGCAAATAGCATCAAAAATACATATAAAACCCAAGAGAGTTGCAAGCTTCTTCCAACGCAGTACTGTCATGCTGTAGACAAATAGGTTTATTGAATGAATTCATTAATGTAGCTTAATCAGTGATGATATAATGAGTGTGGTACAATATAGGTGTTCTAAATATATTTATAGTTAATTTTTATCAAAATTTTCATTTGTCCATAACCTTATCTTTTTTAAGAGTAGTTTAGGCCTGAACTAATTTTTATAGGTAAGCCCAAGTCTCAATTTTCTCATATAGACAACCCTCAAAATTATAGATAGCCTACTCTTCAGTGGTTGCTATTTGCAAGAATTGATGTCATAGTCCCCTAGAAACTTGTACACTCAGGATGGGACATTAGTTCTGCTCTAACTGATAACACACATAATAATGTTAGAACTTGGGCCGCAGAAATTCAGACTCATGCCACAGAGATCCCTTCTGTCCAGATAAAGCCTATAGTTTTACCATTTAAAAAAACAGTCCTCATCAGTTGTTCTTTGTCTAGATATTTGTTTGCACAAATGTTCTCCAAGGTTCTATTTTTGATACTACTGATTACCATCATTGGTGCAGATAAGGAAGAGAAGGTTGGTTTGTATTAAAAATATAGAGATAAAACTTGCTGCAGGCTCAAAATTTACATGAGTTTTTATGGTGTCTGTCTTTCCACAGCTTAATGAATGAAGTGGTTCACACATCTCCAACCATAGGAAGCAATGTTGAAGAAATAGTTGTGAAGAACACCCACTTTCTTATGTGGGATATTGGTGGTCAAGAATCGCTGCGATCATCCTGGAATACGTATTACTCAAACACAGAGGTATAGTATACTTAACTTACTTCTGAATTTTCATAAAAAGAACCAGAGAGTAAACCCAGAAAATTAGATAAGCTTTATGTAAGGCATATTGACAGTTGCCTTTTAATAAGATCCTTTTATGTAAAGATTTTGAGGCTTTCAAATAAGAGAATGGGCAAGTAGAAAGAGTTAAAGGATGCTGTTCGCTGGATGCTTACTGTTGTGCAGGTTCTCTCAGCTCCTCACAGTAATGCTGTCATTTCCCCAATGTTGGAGAAATTGGACAGTGGGACAAATTACATAACTTTTCCCAAGATAACACAGCTGGTTAGAAGAAGAATAAGTATTTTGACATAATACAAGATTTTCAAAGAATACATTCAAAATTTTGGTGAGAGTATATTTTAATTAAAAAACAAATGGATTTGCCTTCCCCTCCCCAAGAGTTCTCTGTTACTTATTAGATGTTCACTGCCAACCTAGGGAACAAATCTGGAGTAGCTTCTATTTCTGATTTTATTTTTTGTTAGAGGCAGATTTTTTTTAAAAACCATGCAGTGCTCTTGAGAGAGGTTTATTTTTTAAAATATTAATGTACAGTTGCATCAGTAACCTTCTTTGCAAAAGGGTCTCCCCTTTTTTTTTTTTTGAAGGGAGGGGAGGGCATGCCAAGGAGGTAGGGGTAGCACGCAAGGAATTTTGGTGAATACATTCCTTTTTAAAACCATGTTTATTATAGATTTATATTGTAATAGAATGTTTCTGTGTGTGTATATTTCAGTGCAATGTATGACTGGTCAAACCAAGATGGCATATCATAGATATTCAGCATTTGTGGTAACACTTTTTTCAGGGGAGGATAGGTTGGTAAGAAACACAGTTGTAGGTTTAATATATATTTCTACAGTAAAATCGCATTCTGAAACTAAAATGTTAGTAGGGGAAGAACAACATTTTAGCATATGAGTGTTTAAACAGCATATCTGTTAGTACTTTTTAAAAGCTCAGAATTAATTCCAGGTGTGAAAAGAACAGTTCTCTTTGATGAATAGGTAAAGTTGATTCTAGCCCATCTGTATATTTATGGCATTACAGAAGGGTAGTTATTGAAATTGCAGAAACCCTAAGAGACTTAGCATGGATCCAGAACAAGACACATTATTACAGACACCATTTGTATACAGTGTTCTTTCAATAAACTATTTCTATTAAAGATTTTTAAATTATTGCAAAGAGCCCTTGACCTATATTGCAGCCTACCAGCCTAGCACATAGCATTCACAGTCTTAGATTCCAGGTAGGGATCTTATCTTTGTGGTATTTCCATGATCACTTTGTTCTTATTAACACTTGGATTTTACTGCTTGATGTGACTCATCATAATAAATTGTTCATGATGAAAAAGCAATAGACCGTTTTATGGTAATGATGACGCAGTGTGAAGAAAGTACTCTGTCACTTGAGAGTAGTTTTGCGAAAAACTTAAACATCCCATTCAGTTTCTCTTTTTTTTATTGTCTTCTAGTTCATCATTCTTGTTGTTGATAGCATTGACAGGGAACGACTAGCCATTACGAAAGAAGAATTATACAGAATGTTGGCTCATGAGGTAAATTTTGAAAGCAAATACTGGAGTAAGATATCTGTATATAGTAGTTTTACTTTTTTCCAAAGTTCATGTACTCTGTGTTGGTTATTTCATCATTAACAAAGTTTTATATATTAAATTAATGAAAGTCTTGAAGTCAAAATTTTTCAGACTTTAAAAACTTAATTTGCAGACTACCACTGTTTTTGGAAAGATTTTTCAGTTAAAACTAACTATTCATGCCTTAAAAAGTCTGATAAATTAAGGCAAGAAAGAAGAAAACATAGGATTTTATTCCCCAAGAGTTTATAATAACTAAAAATTCTACTTTTTGGAAAATGTTAAGGAGGGTGGATATTAGGTCTTCTTTAAATGTTTGATAAAATTCAGTGGTGATATGATACCTTAATTTAAAAAAAGGAAAAAAAATAAAATAATGACAAAAATAATTCCATGGTGAAGCCATCTGGACAGGTGTTTTTTTGTCCAATAGTTTTTTAATTACCAATTCAATTTTGCTGCTGGTAATTGGTCTATTCAAATTTTCTGTTTCTCCCTGGATCATTCTTGGAAGGTTATATTTTTCTAGAAAGTTGTCTATTTCTTCTAGGTCATCCAATTTGTTGGCATATAATTTTTCATAGTATTCTCTAATAATTCTTTGTATTTCCTTGCTGTCCATAGTGATTTTTCCTTTCTCATTTCTGATTCTGTTTCTGTGTGTAGACTCTTTTTGTGATATATCTGGCTAAGGGTTTGTCTCTTTTACTTTCTCAAAAAGCCATCTCGTGGTTTCATTGACTGTTTCTATTGTTTTATTCTTCTCATTTTTATTTATTTCTGCTCTGAACTTTATTCTGTCCCTCCTTCTACTGACTTTGGGCCTCATTTGCTCTTCTTTATCTGGTTTCATTAATTGTGAGTTTAGACTGTTCATTTGGGATTGTTCTTCTTTCTTGAGGTAGGCCTGTATTGCAATGGACTTTCCTCTTAGAACTGCCTTTGCTGCATCCCACAGGTTTTGGGGTGTTGAGTTGTTGTTTTCATTTATCTCCATATGTTGCTTGATCTCTCTTTTTATTTGGTCAGTGATCCAGTGATTATTTAGGAGATGTTGTTAAGCCTCCATGTGCTTGTGGGCTTTTTTGGAGTTTTTTGCCTAATTTATTTTTAATTTCCTATCTGTGTGGTCTGAGAATCGGGTTGGCACAATTTCAGTCCTACTGAATTTACTTAGGCTCTTTCTGTGGCCTAGTGTGTAATCTATCCTGGAAAATGTTCCATGTACACTTGAGAAGAACATGTATCCTGCTACTTTTGGGTGGAGTGTTCTGTAGATGTCTGTTAGGTCCATCTGTTCTAATGTGTTGTTCAGTGCCTCTGACTCCTTACTTAATTTGTCTGGTTGATCTGTCATTTGGAGTGAGTGGTATGTTGAAGTCTTCTAAAATGAATGCATTGCATTCTATTGCCCTCCTTAATTCTAAGAGTATTTATTTAACATTATTTAGGTGCTGCTTGTTTATTTTGTTCATAGATATTTATAATGGTTATATCCTCTTGTTGGACTGACCACTTTATCATTATGTAATGTCCTTCTTTGTCTGTTGTTACTTCTTTGTTTTGAAGTCTGTTTTGTCTGATACAAGTACTCCTACTCCTGCTTTTTACTCTCTATTATTTGCATGAAATATCTTTTTCCATCCCTTCACTTTTAGTGTGTGTGTATCTTTGGGTTTGAAGTGAGTGTCTTGTAGGCAGCCTATAGATGGGTCATGTATTTTTATCTACTCTGTAACTCAATGTATTTCATTGGTGCATTCAGTACATTTACATTTAGGGTGATTATTGAATGATGTGTACTTAGTGCCTTTGCAGACTTTAGATTCGTGGTTACCAAAGATTCATGGGCAGCTTCTTTACTATCTAACAGTCCAACTTAATTCGCTTATTACACTATTTCAAACACAATCTAAAGGGTTTTTTTTCTCCCTTCTTTTTCTTCCTCCTCCACTCTTTATATGTTAGGTGTCTTATTCTGTTCTCTTTATTTATCCCTTGACTGACTTTGTGGGTATTTAATTTTGCATTTGCTTAGTAATTAATTGGTCTACTTCCTTTACTGTGATTTTATTTTCTCTTGTGACAGCTATTTAGCCTCAGAACACATCCATCATGAGCAATCCCTTTAAATACCTGTAAACATGGTTTGTGGGAGGTAAATTCTCTCAGCTTTTGCTTATATGGAAATTGTTTGATCCCTCCTTCAAATTTAAATGAAATCTTGCCAGGTAAAGTATTCTTGGTTCCAGGCCCTTCTGCTTCATTGCATTAAATACATCATGCCACTCCCTTCTGGCCTGTAAGGTTTCTGCTGAGAAGTCTGATGATACCCTGATAGCTTTCCTTTGTTCACGATCTTTTTTCTCTCTCTGGCTGCTTTTAATATTCTCTCCTTGTCCTTGAGCTTTGCCATTTTAATTATCATATGTCTTGGTGTTATCTTCCTAGGGTCCCTTATGTTGGGACATCTCTGCACCTCCATGACTTGAGAGACTATTTCCTTCCCCAAATTGGGGAAGTTTTCAGCAATTTCATAAAAGAGACTTTCTGTCCCCTTTTCTCTCTCTTCTTCTTCTGGTACCCCTACTAATGCGAACATTGTTACATTTGGATTGATCACACAATTCTCTTATTATTCTTTCATTCCTAGAGATCCTTTTTTCTCTCTGTGCCTCTGCCTCTTTGTTTTCCTGTTCTCTAATTTCTATTTCATTTACCATCTCCTCTACTTCTTCTAACCTGCTTTTAAATCCCTCCACTGTATATTTCATTTCAGACACTATATTTTTCAAAGTTTCTATCTCTGTTGAAGTTCTCCCTGAGATACTGAATATTTTTTTTTTGTAGCTCTGTGACCATGTCTATGGTTTTTATTTTGAAATCTTTATCAAGATTTATTTCAGTTTCACTTATCCCTCTTTCTGGTGTCTTTCGGATTCTTTTTTGTACTAAATTTTTTTGCCATTTCATATTTCTAGTGATTCTTATGGAATAAGAACTGTGTAGGTAGCACCCTCTAGTGCCCAGAAGCTCTACTCTCTGGAGCTGCGGAGCTCCTGAAGCGATGTCAGGGGTCACAGACATGTGCCACTGGCACCTGCCGAAAGAGAAAGTTCTTTCCTACTTACTGGCTGTAGTGCCTGCCTCCACTCCCAGGGCCAGTAGGCTGTGCACACAGGGAGGAGCCTCTGTTATGCCCCTGTAGCTGCTATAGGCAGGACCATCCTCTGGCTAGCCTGTCACAATGGCAGGAGCAGCATGTGTGCTGACCGGTTCCTGCCAGGATGAATGAACTGCAGGCTGCCTATCTCAGTGGGGGTCCTCAGTGCTGCATTTCCAGCCTGGGGGATGGAGTGTCTGAAGCTCCTGAGAGCTCCCCATCTGCTGGGATGAGTGTGCTGGGACGATTTTTTCCACCTATCCTTTCTCCTGAACAGAAGGTCTGTGTAATCTTTGCCCCTTTAGCACCCCTCTTGCTGTTGGGAAATCTTTCAAAGTGCCCACCTTTCTGTTGTCCCAGAGTGACCAGTTGTGGGTACCTGTTTTCCGCAAGCAGCTGGAATCTCAGTCTCTCTGAGTATTCTGCCTGTCTTTGCTTTCCAACCCCACTAATCTCCAAAGCACCTTGTAATATGTATTCGTGCTCCTGGAGCAGGTCTCCAGGGCTACATGTTTAGCAGTCCTAGGCTTCTATTCCCTCCCTCTCCATTTCTCTTCCTCCTGACAGACTGCAGCTTTGCTACTTTACCCTTTTCTGTGAGGTCTTCTTTTTTCCCCAGATGTAGGTAGTCTGTTCTGCAGTCTTCCAGTCGCTCTTTCAGGATTAGTTGTATTTCCTCCATTTTCATGTTACCTTGTTTTGGAAGGAGATTTCTGTCTCACTTCCCATGCCTCTTTTTCCCCTCAACATATTACCATACTTACTCATTACCATATTGCTCCTACAAGTCAATAAATAAGATTCAGATTTAATTTAGTTTGAGCCTTTTGGCCCAACAACAGAAAAATAACTTTTAACTATCTAAAGTAATCTATCTTCATTAGGGTGAATTATTAAATTGTGGTGGTTTTGAGGGTTTGTTTTTTTTTCAGTAAAATTCTAAAATTAAATATCATTGCCTAATTATTTTAAAGTAGAGGGATTTCATCAGTACTCTCTAGTTGGTCATATTTCAACTTGCTTTGTTAGTTTCATTTGAATTTGATATTTCATTTATTAGAAATATTTCATATTGATTGCAGGATTTACGGAAGGCTGCCGTCCTTATCTTTGCAAATAAACAGGATATGAAAGGGTGTATGACAGCAGCTGAAATCTCCAAATACCTCACCCTTAGTTCAATTAAGGATCATCCATGGCACATTCAGTCCTGCTGTGCTTTAACAGGAGAAGGGTAAGTGCTCATCAATAATGAGAGGATGTGTGACTTTGTCCAGATTTCTTTCAACTTTTTTAGGTGAACTTGTTTTATTCTTTGATCTTGTTCCAATTAAAGATGGTTTTTATATTGTGCCTCAGGGTTACAAGGTTGAAATATTTTTGTCAGTTGCTATTTTTAAAAAACAATGGGTAACAATTTTTTGTAACTTTTACTGTAAACAGAATCTTTTACCAAAATAGGTAATAACAAACTTTTGAATGAAGTTTTCATAATCCAAAATTTTAGTTCTGGCTTTTGTAATTCACTGTCTGGGGCAAAAAACTGTAATGTCACCTGAATTAAGAAGAAAGCTTCAGAAAAGTTTGTTTTCTTCAAGCACCTTTACCTTTTTCCAGGATAACAATATTATCAGAAGTCCTTTGTGGAAGCATACATCTAGACAATATACATATAGACAAATGCCTTAGAGTTTTCTTTTCCTAAATACTTGACTTTGGATATAGTAGGCCAAGGAGAACCCAGTGTGTTATAGTTTATTTCCAGGAACTTTTTTTTTTTTTTTTTTTTTGGGAGGGTATCTCTCATATTTATTGATCATATGGTTGTTAACAACAATAAAATTCTGTATAGGGGACTCAATGCACGATCATTAATCAACCCCAAGCCTAATTCTCAACAGTCTCCAATCTTCTGAAGCATAACGAACAAGTTCTTACATGGTGAACAAGTTCTTACATAGTGAACAGTACAAGGGCATTCATCACAGAAACTTTTGGTTTTGATCACGCATCATGAACTATAAACAATCAGGTCAAATATGATTATTCGTTTGATTTTTATACTTGATACATATGTGAATCCCACATTTCTCCCTTATTATTATTATTATTATTATTATTATTATTATTATTATTATTTTTAATAAAATGCTGAAGTGGTAGGTAGATGCAAGATAAAGGTAGAAAACATAGTTTAGTGCTGTAAGAGGGCAAATGTAGATGATCAGATGATCAGGTGTGTGCCTATGGACTAAGTATTAATCCAGGCTAGACAAGGGCAGCAAGACATCCACGGATGCAGAAGATTTCTCTCAAAGCAGGGGGGGTGAGGTTCTGAGCCTCACCTCTGTTGATCCCCAAATTCTCACCTGATGGCCCCCCTGCGACTGTGCCTGTCTTAGGTTGTTCCTCCCTTGAGGAATCTTACCCGTCTCTGGCTAACCAGTCATCTTCCGGGGCCATACAGGGAAATGTAAAGTTGGTAAGTGAGAGAGAAGCCATATTGTTTGAAAAGGTTAGCTTTTTACTTCTTTGCAGATTTATGCCCTGTGGCTTCTATGCCCAGCACTTGTCTCGAGGTATCTTTACCACCTGGAGGAATTATGATACTCGGTAAATTCGATATGAGGCACGAATTCTATTTAAGGGTTGTAATTAGGAAGGAAGAAGAAAAGCTATAGATGTAGCATATGAAGGAAACTTGGGAGGATTGATTATTTCTTTGACATATCTTCTTGTATAGTACCTTAAGTATGTATAGGTTTTAAACTACTAACTAATTTGCACACACATATTAACATAATAGGAATACGGTGACATAAACAAAGCAAATCTATAATTACCAGCCATCTCCAGTGAAGCCAAGAAAACCATTTAGGCACCCTAGGCATTTGTGAAAATTTATCTATGATATGATGGATATTGTCCAACTGTACTTGAACCATCAGACAAATTAAAGCAGCCCATTTCTGGGATCTGTTCACATCCCATATGTTCTTTTAACCATAGATAGTCTATAGTCATGAGATTTTGGGGTGCTACAACTTGCACCCCTCCCAACTCCTGGTTGAGTTCCAACAGTACAGATCCAGTCAAATTCGTTGTCTCACTGTATGCACATGCCAGCCTAGACATCTCCCTCCTCCTTCTTATGGCAAGTCCAGGAGACGGTGGGCTGGATGCAGCCACAACCGCAGCATCGTCCGGATCCCTGTGGAGGCTTTTTGATGATCATCCCCCGGCACGAGTCCTCCAGAGAGTGCTGATGCCGGAAGCTCCTCCTCATATCGTATCTTAGTTCATTTTCTGGGTATCCAAGCTAGGCCTTGATCTTCTGCGTAGAAACAAACAGACCCTTTGCCCACACTTTGACATGCCCTCTATACCACTGTGCAGAACTCATTGGAGGTCAGCACACAGTAACTGCTTTTTTTTTTTTTTTTTAATTAAGAGAAAGGAATATTATCAGAAAAGAGTACCTCCATAGCTGATCATCTGACACCCTTTAAGTGATCAACATTAAGGATATTTAAAGCATGCGTTGATCTTTGATTTACCAATAGTTTTATCCTGTTAAGGAGTAATCCCCCTTTTCTTTCTTTCTTTCTTTTTTTTTTTTAAATTTTTAATCTACACTTACCTGAAGAATACTATGTTTACTATGCTCTCCCCTATATCAGGTCCCCCCTAACAACCACATTACGGTTACTGTCCATCAGCTTAGCAAAATGTGGTAGAGTCACTACTTGTCCTCTCTGTGTTGTGCAGCCCACCCTCCCCTTTCTCCCTCCCCCCCATGCATGCTAATCTTAATACCCCCCTTCTTCTTCCCCCCCCTTATCCCTCCCTGCCCACCCATCCTCCCCAGTTCCTTTCCCTTTGGTACCTGTTAGTCCATTTTTGGGTTCTGTAATTCTGCTGCTGTTTTGTTCCTTCAGTTTTTCCTTTGTTCCTATACTCCTCAGATGAGTGAAATCATTTGGTATTTCTCTTTCTCCGCTTGGCTTATTTCACTGAGCATAATACTCTCCAGCTCCATCCATGTTGCTGCAAATGGTTGGATTTTTCCACTTCTTATGGCTGAGTAGTATTCCATTGTGTATATGTACCACATCTTCTTTATCCATTCATCTACAGATGGACATTTAGGTTGCTTCCAATTCTTGGCTATTGTAAATAGTGCTGCGATAAACATAGGAGTGCATCTGTCTTTCTCAAACTTGATTGCTGCGTTCTTAGGGTAAATTCCTAGGAGTGGAATTCCTGGGTCAAATGGTAGGTCTGTTTTGAGCATTTTGATGCACCTCCATACTGCTTTCCACAATGGTTGAACTAATTTACATTCCCACCAGCAGTGTAGGAGGGTTCCCCTTTCTCCACAGCCTCGCCAACATTTGTTGTTGTTTGTCTTTTGGATGGCAGCTATCCTTACTGGTGTGAGGTGATACCTCATTGTAGTTTTAATTTGCATTTCTCTGATAATTAGCGATGTGGAGCATCTTTTCATGTGTCTCTTGGCCATCTGTATTTCTTTTTTGGAGAACTGTCTGTTCAGTTCCTCTGCCCATTTTTTAATTGGGTTATTTGTTTTTTGTTTGTTGAGGCGTGTGAGCTCTTTATATATTCTGGACGTCAAGCCTTTATCAGATCTGTCATTTTCAAATATATTCTCCCATACTGTAGGGTTCCTTTTTGTTCTATTGATGGTGTCTTTCGCTGTACAGAAGCTTTTCAGCTTAATGTAGTCCCACTTGCTCATTTTTGCTGTTGTTTTCCTTGCCCGGGGAGATATGTTCAAGAAGAGATCACTCATGTTTATGTCTAAGAGGTTTTTGCCTATGTTTTTTTCCAAGAGTTTAATGGTTTCGTGACTTACATTCAGGTCTTTGATCCATTTTGAGTTTACCTTTGTATATGGGGTTAGACAATGGTCCAGTTTCATTCTCCTACATGTAGCTGTCCAGTTTTGCCAGCACCATCTGTTGAAGAGACTGTCATTTTGCCATTGTATGTCCATGGCTCCTTTATCAAATATTAATTGACCATATATGTTTGGGTTAATTTCTGGGGTCTCTAATCTGTTCCACTGGTCTGTGGCTCTGTTCTTGTGCCAGTACCAAATTGTCTTGATTACTATGGCTTTGTAGTAGAGCTTGAAGTTGGGGAGTGAGATCCCCCCTACTTTATTCTTCTTTTTCAGGATTGCTTTGGCTATTCGGGGTCTTTGGTGTTTCCATATGAATTTTTGAATTATTTGTTCCAATTCATTGAAGAATGTTGCTGGTAATTTGAGAGGGATTGCATCAAATCTGTATATTGCTTTGGGCAGGATGGCCATTTTGACGATATTAATTCTTCCTAGCCATGAGCATGGGATGAGTTTCCATTTATTAGTGTCCCCTTTAATTTCTCTTAAGAGTGACTTGTAGTTTTCAGAGTATAAGTCTTTCACTTCCTTGGTTAGGTTTATTCCTAGGTATTTTATTCTTTTTGATGCAATGGTGAATGGAATTGTTTTCCTGATTTCTCTTTCTATTGATTCGTTGTTAGTGTATAGGAAAGCTACAGATTTCTGTGTGTTAATTTTGTATCCTGCAACTTTGCTGTATTCCGATATCAGTTCTAGTAGTTTTGGAGTGGAGTCTTTAGGGTTTTTTATGTACAGTATCATATCATCTGCAAATAGTGACAGTTTAACTTCTTCTTTACCAATCTGGATTCCTTGTATTTCTTTGTTTTGTCTGATTGCCGTGGCTAGGACCTCCAGTACTATGTTAAATAACAGTGGGGAGAGTGGGCATCCCTGTCTGGTTCCCGATCTCAGAGGAAATGCTTTCAGCTTCTCGCTGTTCAGTATAATGCTGGCTGTGGGTTTATCATATATGGCCTTTATTATGTTGAGGTACTTGCCCTCTATTCCCATTTTGCTGAGAGTTTTTATCATGAATGGATGTTGAATTTTGTCAAATGCTTTTTCAGCATCTATGGAGATGATCATGTGGTTTTTGTCTTTCTTTTTGTTGATGTGGTGGATGATGTTGATGGATTTTCGAATGTTGTACCATCCTTGCATCCCTGGGATGAACCCCACTTGGTCATGGTGTATGATCCTTTTGATATACTGTTGAATTCTGTTTGCTAATATTTTATTGAGTATTTTTGCATCTACATTCATCAGGGATATTGGTCTGTAATTTTCTTTTTTGGTGGGGTCTTTGCCTGGTTTTGGTATTAGGGTGATGTTGGCTTCATAGAATGAGTTTGGGAGTATTCCCTCTTCTTCTATTTTGTGGAACACTTTAAGGAGAATGGGTATTATGTCTTCTCTGTGTGTCTGATAAAATTCCGAGGTAAATCCGTCCGGCCCCGGGGTTTTGTTCTTGGGTAGTTTTTTGATTACTGTTTCAATTTCTTTGCTTGTAATTGGTTTGTTTAACTTTTGTGTTTCTTCCTTGGTCAGTCTTGGGAGGTTGTATTTTTCTAGGAAGTTGTCCATTTCTTCTAGGTTTTCCAGCTTGTTGGCATATAGGTTTTCATAGTAGTCTTTAATAATTCTTTGTATTTCCAGGAACTTTTTTATCCTCACATCAACATAACCACCTTAGTTTTTCTCATACTAGAAATAGCTTATAACATAATAATTTGATGTAGTTTTTTGACCTGTACTTTTTAAGACTAGGCCATAAACATGCCATTTTTTTAGAATTTAGGAAAATAAGGTGAAATGAAGTTGCTCTTGTCTTTCTATAATGGGTTTGATTTTAGTTAATTTTAAAAGAGGGAGGAAGAGAATTTATAATCTTGATGGCAAAATCACCAAAGCTGCATCTTCAAGATGAGACTGAAGCAATTTCTGACATTAACTGATTAAGATCACCTTGTTTACATGAATCTTCTACTTAAAATTCTCTGTACTGTGTTGCCTACTATTGCCACTTACGTGTATAAATTATTATAGTAGTACCACTTTGGGTAAGGCTTAAAAAGTATGCTTTCAATTTTTAAATAGAGGTTTTTTTTTCATTTTGAAATTACTTCTGTCTTTTGTTTTAGGTTATGCCAAGGACTAGAGTGGATGACCTCTCGTATTGGTGTGAGATAACTTTTTTGCTTGAAAGAGACTGCTCTATTTATTCTGTGACATGAACATTTTTCCTAGTATCTTTGGCTGCTAAGGCAGCAGCATGTTTAATTTATAACAACACAAACCTCTATGAGCAACACTTGAATCAAGTGCAGCTGAACTGGGACACAAAAGATTTTTTCTTACCTTTTTTTTAATGCACTAATCTTCAGTTGGATGAACATAATGTATAACTATATTTTCAGCGAAAGAATTCTTCTGACTGCTTATTCTAATTATTCAATGACTGCCTTGTAAGAAATGTTTGTCATGTTTGTTCCCTGAAGTATTATAAGTTAATGACCAATTTCTTTTGTTTCTTGACTACCCCTTTCCCCCACCAGATAATTACTTCTTTGACAAAGTAGTAGCAGAAATTATCAGATACTGCTTGCAAACTTAACCAGCACTAAATATTTGTTCCTTCTATAAACCACTTTTGAACAGAACTTATTATAGAGAAAGAAATGTGCCTAAAATATATGTACAAGATTAAATATCATGAGAACTGCCTTTAAATGTGCTGACTTCCCTCACATTATTGCAAGTCTTAGAATCATTTTAAATTACTATTAGCATGGAAATTAAGTAGGCTATTTATCCAAAAGAATTAAGTTCACTTTTCTGCCTAATTTACTTAGTTAAGTTAATCAAGGTGAAATGTTTATATGAAAGCCCAACTTTGATAATACATATATTGGATCTGGTATTTTAAGAATGTTGCATTATTCAATGCATATATAACTATCAGAAGTTATTAAAGCATACCAGCAGTAATATGAAAACAAGACACTTGGAATATATTTTACTCTCAACTTTAACAAACAAGTTTATTATCAGCAGAAAGTTCAACTGTTCCATTTGCAAGAGCCATCATATCTGCTTTGGGCAATAGCTAAAGCAGAAATATTGAACAGTTAATTCCATTTCTTAAAATTTGAAATTGTTTCTCTAAGAGTATTTCTACCACCAACAATATATTACTTAAAAGAGATAATGGCTTTTCTTAAATCTGTTTGAGATTGTAGTGTAATAGGCTTGAAACAATTGCCATCCTTATAGTTACACCTTGTGTTCTCAAGTTTTTTGCTGGATTATAGGAAACTGCTGGATTTAATCCTGGCTTTTAGACTGGAAGTTTGAGACTCATAGTTAATACACTAACAACTTAAAAATTAAAAAATAGAAAAAAAGTCATTATCAAAATTGTATTTATTGCATAGCATTAAGAAGTTTTCAAGGCAGTTGTCTAATATGAATAATAATCTAAATAGTGCCTACCGTAAGAGGGAGGACAAGTATTGTAATTTTGATCCTCTATTTCAAATGTATGATTTTGCTATAATGAAAGGATAAAATGTGTATTTAGAGTAATACTTCATTTTTACAGTATTTTTTGCCATTTGGGTCAAAATAGGATTCAGTATTCATAATATCAAAATAACCTGTTTTAAAGTGGTGTTTTAATTTTAATTTTTTTTATTGTAGGCTGGTTTAAATTTTGCTCTGTTTTCAAGTATATTTGATTTATTAGACTTAGTCTAATTTAGTTGATTGTGGTAACATTTTCTGATTTCTCTTTAGTAGTAGCACACCCTAGAAGTGAAAAGTGGCTAGAGGAAAGTTTCTAAACTTTGGGAACTGGTTACCTGTTAACTTTGTTTTGAACCTTTTTCTTAGTGATTCTATACCAGTTAGACAATAAATTTTGTTTAAAATGTAACCCATAATCAAGAATATGAGAGAAAAGCAGACATAATTCAGTAAGAATGCTTTGTGGTGTGTATGTGGTGGTGGGGTAGGAGAAATTATGAAAATACCCTTTACCTAAAGCATACTTGCCAGAATTTATGTCTTGGTTATATAGTTTAGCCATAAATACTGAGGATAATTCTCTTAACCCCAACCTGAAAAAAACATATTTAATAGTCCTGTATGTGTTCTTACTATGAAGTTTATCATCTTGTATCTAGTAAGATTGGCTGGCTCAATTTTCTTCTATCAAATTATTTGGTTATTTTTTATATTACCGCATCAGCATTATACTGAAAGTGTTTTTAATAGTTGATGGTATTTTGTCAACTATTAGGATAGAGTCAAGTTTGCTATTTAATTTTTAAAATGCAATTCATTTTTTATTTTCTAAGTCCTTTTTAAAAAACATTTTGTTAGCTTTGGATTGAAAATGATTTATGTTGACTGTGTGCTAAAGATGAAATCAACATCCCATGAGATTTTTGTGCCAGTGATTGGGAAAAGGTCAACAGGAAATTGATGTAAGACTTTTAAAAGTATCTTATAAGTTCTCATTAGATATTTCCTGTACAGTAAGATGAAAACTGATTATCCTTTACTCCAAGAGAATGGCTAAACTCAGCCAAATATCTAATACTAAAGAATTGATTCTGATATTCACTGTATCAACAAAATCAGAATTTGACTAATGCCTTTATTCTTATTTTGAGCTGAGGTCTCAATTTTGTACTATACCTGTTCTTTAAGATTCAGATAGCAGGTAATTAATTTAACAATGAAATAATTTGAGTTTCACCCTCCCGCTCAACCTCTCAATTGCCTAGCAAAGTTTTTAGTAAGTAGTAGAAAGCAAAGGGCCACATTACTTTTGAGAAGTCATTCTACATTTTGTTTTTAATTTGAAGATAAACTAAATTTTAATCTTTCCCATGTGTTATAACTAAAATGTAAGTGCTACCCTTGTAAGTTCAAATAAGGTGGTTTTGTTAAACTTAGAACAAGTCTCATTCATCATATTTAAACTCGTTGTTCTTAATGAAGCTCATTTGGGAACTTTAGAATTAACAGGCCTTTTATATGAGGATATACTGTATATTTTGTACTAATGCAGTCTAATTCCTTAAAATCAGAAATAGTAGTAATTTTTGCTTTTATGTTCTGTTAGTATGCTTAAGGTATATATAATTTTATTCTACATTAGAGGAAAGATAAATTCAACTTTCATTGTTAAAAATAATTTTTAAATGGGTTACCACCCTTATAGCCATAATCATCTTGATGAAGCATAAATTCACTTTTATTATCTATATAGCATAAGATAAAACAGTTATTTTCCTGTGGAATCAATGATATAGGGAGCACTGTAAACTGTATTCTCTGAAGAATGAGGGGAGTCATAAAGCAAGAAAATTTAAAAGAAACAGTATTTTTTTTTTAAATCTTTTTGGTATAGTATCTTAGGATAAATTTACAAATGGAACCATTTCTGACTAGGCTCATTTCATTCTTAATTATGTAAAACTGTATTAGTAGAAAAAATATGCTGGTATTATGCCTATAGATGGAAAAATTCCATCAACCTTTAATTTTCAAGACCAGTTCATGAGTCTAGCTTTTCATCTGTGGCTTTAGATCCAAAACATTTCATTTCTAGTTCAGTTCTAAAGGACCTTTTATATCTCATCAAGGTAAAGTCACCTCAAGATACAGCATGGTGACTTGTCATCTGGTAGAGTAATGACTATCTGGCTATCTAAAAGGTGGGCTCAAATCCTAATTTGACCATTACTTACTTATTTGATCTTAAATTTACTGTCCATAGACCTTCTATTTTTCCCATACTTAGGAACTTAAGCAAACAAAACTCCAACATGTCTTTTGCTTTTAAAATCCTAAATTTTTACATACTACATTAAAATTTTAAAAAATTAGGAAGACATGTAATAAATTAATTTTTATCTTATTTGATGCCCACCTCATCATTTCACTTGGTATATGAATATTATCAACTAAGGAAACAAATTATCAACTATTAACAGCTACCCAACTTAAATCACACTAATAGCTAATGGCAGTGCAAAAGAGAAAATAAGCCATATTGCTAAGAAAATTATTTTAGCCTTATAAAAACACCAGTGTGTGTTGAAAATACTTAGTTCTAGAGATTAGATTAGCTTGCTTATTTTCCTCATTTTTACTAGTTAGAGTGGTTGTTAGCCTGTTCATTTCATTGACTTTAGATGCCACCCAAAACTCATATGACTTTTCAGTTTTGAAGGGATGGTATAGCCAGGATGTCGGTATTTTACAAACACATGCATAAATCTGAGAGTAGTGTATAATCAAGGTTAGTTTTTTATGTAATGTCTCATCCTTACTTATTTATTTAGCATTACTGTGGAGACTGAAAGCCAAAAGTCAGGTTCCCAGAAAGGATTTTTTAAGAGTTCCAGATGTCCCAAGCTAAACAGAGAAGGCCAACTAAAAAAAAAAAAAAACAAATCTTCAACCACTCCATTTTAAATTTAAAGTAGAAAAAATACTGTGTTCAACAAACCTAAAATCCCCTTCAAATGTGTATGGTTTGGTAAAATGCTTGCGAAATGTTAATTTGGAGGAAAAGAAGAATATCTAGGAACAGAAGTTAAAACACTTGATAGTAAACATGGGGCAGGAAATCTTTTAAAGGATATTAAGTAATAGAAAATTTGAATGAAACAGTGAACACCCCCCATTTAAGGCAATTAAAATTACTAGAAAGGACAGTCATTTACTCTAGAACTGAATAGCCTATATTATTTTTAATGTGGCCAAAGCAGTGAAAATAGATCAGGCTTTTAGAATTTTGGAGTGTAATCACCTAAAGGTATCTTTTGCTCATTTTTTTAAAACAATAAGCTACATTTTCTTGAGAAATAATAAAATGTGCCATGCATATCTTTTGGAATAGAAAACAAAGTTCTAGAAGAATGGAAATCTTCTCTCACACAAATTTGTAAAATCTTAAACTTAAAAATTACCTCATTTTTCAATCTCTAAGGTGCTTTTGCCATTTGTGGGATGTTGAACCATCCCATAAATACTCCCTTCACCTAAACTGTATTTGAAATACACAAAATTCACAACTGAGAGCATTCCTTGGAGATTTTCTTTTATTCTTGTGTACCACCAGCAGGCTGACATGGTGTAGCAGATCCACAAATCATCCTCATTAAAGCACACAGGCAAGTTCTGTCAATACTTAGTTTAATTAAAGTCAGATAAGGGAAAGGAAAAACCTTAACAGTTGATTGGTTTTATTACACTGTGAACATATTTCCATCAATGACTATCAGTTTGATGTTATGTGTAATTTATTTGCATAATTGGGCCCTATTCACAAGAAATTAAAATCATTTTAATCTTCATACTTTTTCCCTCAGGAAATTCAGGGACTTTACAGCCCCTATTTTGTTCTCTTAGAGTTAAGTGTAGTTTTTGAAAACTTTCTATTTTGATTTTTTAAAAGTTTAGCTGCTATTTCATTAAAAGTAAATAAGATGATGGTTATGATTTTTCCAATTATGTAATAATTATAAATCTTACCCTATTCATTTATTGCTCAGAGCATGATGTAAAAGGAAAACAAAAATTAAAAGCAGTTAAAGCCTTGCTCTTGCATTTATTCTAGTAAAAATATAATGATTATAATCCCACATTGTCATGTTAACATAAATTGGTGCTTTAGAGCATTAAAGAACAGCAGGCCCTGTGTAATATATTTCTTGCCTCAGAATGTAAAACTATGTAAAAGCATCTATATTTATGTTCATTTCTTAAGGTTTAAATACAGACTTGTCATTATCCATCAAGCTTCAGGCTTTCTGCAAAAGCTGTAATAATATCCTAACTAATCAGTTTGGTCAAACAGAAGATTGTTAATAAGGCCAAAATTGTGAGACGGATCTCTCTGGACCCTCTGGCATTGTACAGAGGGGAAAAGAAAATGTCTCATGCCATAAACTATGCTGTTTAGCCCCAACCAAGCAACTAAAATGTGTGCTATCGGTCCAATATATTAGCATTAATACAATTTTAAAAAAAACAAATTACTTCATGCATTTATATCATCACTTCTTGAAAATGGTTCAAAGCATGTTCTTCTAATGTTGGGGTTTAAAAGACATGTTTTAAAATTTTTATAGCTTTATTACTGTCATAAAACACTCCTTTTTGTGCTAAGTTTAGGTTGCTGGTGCTCATCATTTTATATTTCTGCAATTATGTTATAATTAGTTACTTGCATGCCTACTTATCCAAGTAAAAGGATGTTGTTTGCTCTGGAATGTTCATGTTTTAGACAGATTTTGGCTCATTTGCAATCACAGTGCAATACAGTGTAACAGTCATTTGTTTTCAGTCAACAGTTTTATTTTTGTCATAATAAATACTTTTCCAATATAATGTGTCCCCAGTAGTTTCTTTAAAGAGAAAATCTACCATAACAGTCTTTTTGTTCCCAGTGGTGGAAACCCACTGAAGCTAACAGAGGAGAATGTCATTGTAAGGGTGCGGTGGTGAGAGCTCACAGAACCCATGATCGGGGATGCAGCTGGATTTCTGGAACAGGCTGGGACCCAGACACCCTGAAATACTGAGAAAGAACCAGGAAGTTCTCTTTCGCTCACTCATCTCTTCTTTCTCAGTCTTTCACTAGACTGGATTTTTCTGTTTGCTAGTCCATGTGGTAGGTAATGTCCAAATCATATAGTTCCTATCAGTAGGTTGTTGGTTACAATTCCATATTCCCTAGGGAAACTTTGTTTGCCTTCAGTGGGTCAGTTACTCTCTTGTTCAAACAACTTGAAGAAACCCTTGGGCAGTAGGAAGGAAATCCCAAGCAGTGTGTGTAGTATAATAGGAAATATATTTGGTCTTTGTCCTCTGTCCTGGTATAAAGCTCCTCAAACCCTGGAGTTTCCTGAATGATAGGTGTGTCTTATGTCATTCATAAGAAACCTCTTCTGAGCTTATGTTAATGAGGTGGTGGAGGTGGGACCCCTAGATAGCCTCAGGATGGGGCCGGTCACCAGAATGACCAGGTCAGAGGGTTGGGACTTGTCAGCCCTGCCCACCACTCCACTGGGAAGGGAATGTTGGGGGTTGGTGGGGAGGTGGTACTGCTGATGAAGCTCTATGAGAACTGGTGACAAGGTGATTTGATAAGCCTCTGGGTTGGGAAGCATATCCATATATGCCCAGAGGGGCGGTACACTCGGTACCATGGTGACACTTCCATACCTTGTCCTATTCATTTGGCTCTTCTGTAACCTTTATAATAAACAGGTAAATGCAAGCAAATTTTACTCTGAGTTCTCTGAGCCACTCTAGCAAATTAAACCCAAAGTGGGGATTTGGGGAACCTCCAATCTATAATTAGAAGCACAGATGACAATCGGGGTTGGATTGGCATCTGAAGTTGGTTGGATTGCAGACTTGTGAGACTGAACCTTTAATTTGTGGGATCTGATGCTGTCTCCAAGTAGATTGTTTAGAACTGAGCCAAATTGTAGGACATCCAGTCAATGTCTGCTGAGAATTGGAGAATTGCTCAGTGGTGTTGAAAAATAAAAATCGGAGTGTGTACCCTATTGTGAGATAAAATACAATTAGGCTGTTAAGTACACTGTGCTTTGTGTTACTAAAAAAAAAAAAGTTGACATGTAATCTAATACTCTATAGGATAAAGTTTCATTATATTCATGAATTAGATTCCCTGGGAGTTAACTACCCCTTCTTTCAAAGACCCCTTTGAGAATGTGATGAAAAAGATAACTGAAATTTTATACATAAGTGCAAAGTTAGAAAATTTGTATAGGTTAGGAATATCAAACACCTCAGTTAAAGAGGTCTGTTGCACTACTAGACTTAACATGCCTGAACATTCCAATATTTTCTGGGAAACACCCAAAACCAATAAAGTTCATCCTGCCTATATTTTTTAAACAGCTTTATGTAGGTATAATTAACATATTAAACTGTACAGGTTTAAAGTGTACAATTTGAAAATTTTTGCTATGTATATACCAGTGAAACAGACACAGACTGTGGGTATAAATCAGTAGCGTGAGGGCCCGCAGAAAAAGCAAGGCAGGATATTTACAGTCAGAGGAATGTAACTACATGCAAAGAAACCCCCTACCAAAACTCTGTTAAACATTAAGCTCTAGAGTCATTCAGTGAAATCAGTTAATATTTCCCAGATAAAGTAAAGTAGCCCATGTTTTTATTATGCTAATTGTTTGTAATCATATATAAGATTCACTTTAGCATGCTAAAAGGCCCAGGCCTATATGCTGTTTTTCCTCCAAACTTGAGGTGATTTGCAATCAGCTATTAATGGCAAGCAAACCCAGCCATAAACAACAGTAAAAGACAAGAAGGATTCCACCTTAAAGATAAGATTGCACTATTAATACCCAAGAAGTTAAGAAGTAAGATTCTTAACTTACTCTTTAGCAAACACAATACTTCAGCCCACCTTGGGGGCTGGGCACACAGTGTTTGACCAAGATGCCAGTATCTTGGAGAAATCAGAGCAAGAAGTTCCTTGGGTTAAGTTAATTCTAAATATTCAGGGGCCACTTAACAAGTCCACACCCCTAATACTTTTTTCACATTACCAAAAATCCTCAACTGTCTATTAAACCCCTAGACAACGCACAACTACAGGCTCTCTTGTCACACCAGGAGCTCTGTCTTCTCACTGTATCTCTAAATAAAGGCCTCTCCCTGGCTCTCCTACCTTGAGTGTTTGCAAAGTTCATTCTTCAACTCCGCAAACAAGAACCCCGACATCAAAACCATCACCGCAATCCAGATAATGAACATACCCACACCCAATTTGCCCGGTGTCCTTTGTACTTCCACCCTTCTGCTCAACTCCGCACCTCCAGATAACCACCTAGTTGCTTTCTGCTGCTGTATTTTAATTACATAGAATTTTATACTACCACTTGGCACAATTATTTTGAAATTTATTCATTTCAGTGTGTAGATCAATGGCTCAGTCCTTTTTGTTGTTAAATATTCCATTGTATGGATGTACCACTATTTGTTTATCCACTCCCTCTTAGTGTGCGTTTGGTTTGTTTCTAGTTTTTAGCCATTACAAAGAGAACTGCTAGACTGCTAGAACACTAATATAAACTTTGTATAAACTTTGTATAAACATTTGCTTTCACGTGTCTTGGGTAAACCAAGACCTAGGAGTGGAATGGCTGGAACATGGTAAGGGTGTGTTGAATTTTTCAGGGAACTGGCCAACTTTTCAAAGTGATTGTGCCATTTTACATACCTGCTGTTGATGTATGCAGGTCCCACTTGCTTCACAACTGGCCTGGTCACTCTGATTTTGGACATTGTAATAGGTGTCTCACTGTGGGTTTAATCTGTAGTTCCCTCATGACAATGATGATGAGCATCTTTTCATGTGCTTGTTGGCTATCCTATCTTGGTGGAAGTGTTTGTTCAAATTTTTTGCAAATTTTCAATTGGATTTTCTTATGTCTGAGTTTCAGTTGTTTATTTTGCATATAAGCTATTGATCAGATATGCTGTTTATAGCCATCTCCCAGTCTTTGGCTTGCCTTGTCATTCTCTTGTGCCTAGTTTTAATCTACTTCCTAGTTTACAGATGGCCAAACACAGCAGCATCAATAAGTGAATTTTGTCTAATCACATGGTTAAATTTACTTAACAGAATCCTGTGTAGCTGCCACATGTAATTTATGTGTAGTTCTCTTAATATCCAATTAGTTTTCTCATCACTAACCTAAGTTTGCTTTGACCATGCTTCACAGGAGCAGAATTTTTTAATTTATTTTCCCTAAACAGAAAAGCCTGATGTCAAAGTTTTGGGGGGATAATCGGTTCCAAGACACAAGGAAGTCAGAGCATAAGGTGATTATAATGAAAAAGCAAAGTAACAAAGACACTTACCACTGGAAAAGTGCAGAGACAAATGTAAGTGAGAGATTTATTTAAAGCAAAAAAATGCACACTCAGGGGGGAGTGTGAGCTACCTCAGAGAAGAGCCCTCAAGGGTGTAGAGTCTGGGGTTTTACAGGCGGTTGAGAATTTTCAAAGGTCTAGGGGTGTGGACTTGTTAGGTGGTCCCTGAATGTTTATCTTTGATGAGTCATTACATCTTTCTTTTGATTAGTCTTCCAGGTAATTCTGCAAAATTAACATAAGAAATTTACTCTTGCTTTCCAAAATAGCAGCTTTTTGGTCTGGGGGCAATCAATTAAGACTCTTTGCCCTGCCCTCCAGGATGGGCCGAGTTATTATTTGCTTGTTGAATGGTAAGTTATTCTTACTTTGTATATGCAAATCTTACTTTGTATATGCAAAGCTGTTAGCTCAGAGCCTAATACCCTATACATGTTCAATACAGCATCTATTCAATCAAGTGATTTTCTGCTTTAAGAGCACCTTGAAGCGATGTTTTACAAAGTGAGGCTACAGGCCCCCAGGAGGGCAGCAAAGCATTCCCAGGGACTTGCTGACCCCAGAGCTGCAACACCACCACCAGTACCAGCAACTGATTTCCAATTCCAATTGAGTTCACTTACTTCCCATCAGGTCTTCTCCTTGAAGCCAACCTTGCCTTCCATGAATTTACTTGTTAAATAAGAGAGAAAAATGCTGAGCAAGAATCAAAGACGTACTGACAAGTAATTTGGCCCGGTGGTTTTTGTCCTATTAAAAGATCTGTTAACACTACCAAAGGAGAAATTGGGAGAATGTACATACATCAGAAAGTAGTAGAGCTGTGTCGCAGAGCCAGTTGTGGTTTTATTGTTGCTCTTTGTCCCCAAGGACTATCAAACCCTTAGAGAGTTGAACTAACCAAAATACATATGTCCCAGGCAGACACCAGAAGGCTATGTATTAGTTGATAGTGAACCATACATGGACACAAATCAGAAATAGCTGGCATGGTCTCACCCCACAGTTCCTCCTTGTGGTCACTGAGCATACCCTCTCCAGGAAAGCACCTTTCCCGTGCCTGAGGAAGCTGCTTGGTGGGCATGGAATCAAAAAAAGGAGCATCAAAGAAGCACCCAGCCACATCAGCCATGGTGCATCCGTCTCTCCAAAAAATGTCCTCATCTGTGACACTAGACAGAGTTGGACCTGGTATGACAGTTCTGAGATGGATTCCGCGCAAAGCCCTGGGACTGTTCCCATATTCTCTCTTTACCGCATAGTCTGTCTGTTAACCTGGCTGCCATTCTGGATCCAAATGTCAACTTTGGCTAAACTCTGACATGTATCCACTTTGGTAGAAGGTAGAGTCTTGTAAATGCTACATACTTCCTGTTGATACATAGGAATAGGAAGTGTACCAAGTCTGATGGAAACAGATGAGTCCTAAATTTAAATACACTTTTAAA